TTGATGGCCCGGCTCACGTCAAGGCGGACAACATGTCCGTGATCAAGAACTCGAGCATCCCGGAGTCTACTTTGAAGAAAAAGAGCAACTCGGTCGCATACCACTATGTCCGTGAAAGAGTCGCTGCAGGCATGGCAAACATCACTTATGAGAATACAGAGAGCAATTTGGCCGATATGTTGACGAAGATCCAGAACGGGCCTGTGAGGCAGCGACTGGTTTCGAAAGTCCTCTACTAACAATCTACAAAAAGGCAACATGACCATAGGGTGGGCCGTTTGGTGAACGGCAGGTCTGAGCCTCCAAGGGGCCTTGCCCCAAGGGTACATCCTGTTTCAGACTTCCGAAGTCTGTTTTCCCATTTCAAGTGCAATCTAGCGTGAGATAGATCCCCCTCTAGCTTGAGGGGACCGAAAATGACCTGTGGTAGCGATTTATGACTATCCAGTTACCAGATTACTAAAATCAACCACAACAACCAAGTAGTAACACACACAACACTATAGCAACCTCTTTATCAACACCATCAGCCTTTTTCGAACATCCGTCGAAAAGTCGAAAATGCTTTGGACGAACACTGTGCAGTCATTTCAACAACCAGTGAGGCCGGTACGGTTCTCATGTCCGGCATTTGGAGCACCACAAACCTGACGATCGTCGAGCTGGTTCCTTGTTTCCTCGTTGAATGCGGCCTCATTTTTTCATGGCTTCAAGATCGACAGTCAATTGAGAATTGCATCCACCACTGATCTCTCTACTGCCGGTAGCTGCAATAACAGCAACAACGAAGTTGCCCCGCCTCCAAAGGACGAGTTGAATACTCCTGACCTGGAAGAACAATCCCCAGCCGAAATGAACAACGGCGACACGACGAAGCCCCGCCGTTGGCTGGTAGACCGTTGCGACGGGAACGAGCAAGTGATGGATCCTGATTCCAGACCTTGCTGTCCCATCTTTTACGCCCCCCTTTTGCTCAAGTTTTTTCCAGACTATCTAGAGCAGAACCGAGTTATGGAGTGTTTGGGCAAGACGGGTTTGTTTTCACCCAAAAATGTCACCGCACGCAAAGTGGTCATGATCATTGCCTTGTTGTCCACATTGATCGGTTGGGCATTCCTGATTGTGTCAGACTTTAGCATTTCCACGCAATACAAGTACATCGAAATGGCAGCCTTTAACTATGCCAGTATTTCGGTAAACGTCAATGACAACTCGACCTTAGTAACCAATGCAACACGAATCAGTTTGGGATTGAGAGCTGCTGCCTTGGCAACTTCTTCCTATGAGGACTACGTGGACCGTGAGGAAGACCAACGTGTCATTGGTTTTGACGAGTTTTGTGGCAATCAGCATGAAAAAGAAACTCTCAGAGACAAGACAGTCAGCTCGTTGGCATCCAGGATCGTCTTTGCCAATCCAGACAATTGCCACCAGTGTGCGGATGCCAGTCAAGCCATGGTATCATCCATACTCATGTCCACAATCACATACTTTTTCACATTTACGACCGATATCCTACGAATCTGGCCCAACTATGATGTCAATTGCCAAAAGGTCTTTGGCGCATTCTTTGCCATTTTCAGTACCGTCATGGGACTTCGAACATGGTTCATCTATAGGAACCAATGCTTTGCCAGTTTTGCCAGTGGATGGGAATGCTACGATGCGACCTTTGAACGAGTCGAATGTGGCGACGAGTACACCTACGACTCGGGCAAATTCTTCTTTCACAATCCCTCTGTGGCATACTCGGTTTACACCAATTGGATGATTGGGCCCGGTCTGATTTGCTTGGGGGTTGCTACCTTTGCCAAAGTCATGGATCTGCTCTGCAATTTCGTCATTCCGACGCCGTCCATTACCCGCAATCGAGACGAACAGTGGGAATATGAAAGATTGGTTCAGAAACAGGAGGAGGCACAAGAGGTGGAACAAGAGGAAGAGGTTGAAGAGCACGAAGAGGCAGAACAAGAAGAGCAAAAAGAAGAGGTTGAGGCAGAGGCAGATGACGAACAAGGGAACGAAAGAGAACACGATGACGGGGGTGAAGCCAAGCAGGACGTGTAAAGAGATCAGCGAGTGCACCCGCACCGCTGCCGCCGCCTTCTTTTGAGGGTATTGGATTGGATTGTGAGAATAGAGAACTAGATCTTTATGGATTTACGCTCCGCCAGAAATCAGAAATCAAACAGCATCGTTTGCCTTGTTTGCCGTCTGCGATCCCTTTTCCATCGTTTTTTCTGCTTTTGCTTTGAATCTGTCTCGAGGAAGCGAGAGTGACTCACACGGGCCCTCGGATAAAATTCTCGTTTCAGTAGCTCGGCGAAAGCAACAGAACGATGCTTTCCCCACGAGCACACGAACCCAACAGAGCCAATGTCATTATCTTCTATCGTTTCCACAATCAAATCCATTAAATGGCCATAGTCCGGATGCGATTGCATGTGCTCTTGTAGTTCGGGCATCGTCCCGTCTTCCTTGCGGATGTCTGGTCTGGCGTATTCCGAACGAAAAGATCTCAAGTCTATTGTCAGTTCACAGCCTGGGTCAGAGTGCAAATTCACTCCCCAGGAACAAATTGTTAGTCTTCGTTGTGGATTGGCGGCAGCATGGGAGCAAGTCCTAGACCGAATCTCTTCTAGAGAAAACATGCCATCGTTGTAGACAATGACAGCGGGAAGCTGACCACCCACATTGTTTGATGCTTCCACCTTCCGAAATAGGTTTCCCAAATAGGTTTACCAAATAGATAGGTTACCAAATAGGTTTCCCAAGATTTGCTTTCCATGATGCAAGCTCACCCCATCCGTTTCCCCCAGCTCAATGATTCGATTCAAGAAGAATCTGGCGGGTTGGGAGGGATTCAATGGCTGGCTCACGCTTGTCAACGATGCGATACCGGGTCAGCAAAGACGCAAGGAAGAGGATAATATTCTTATCTTCAAACCTGATTGAGAGAAATTTCCACTCCTGAGTTTTGGCTCAGTGACGACTTCACGACGCAAGACGTTGACCAAAGCACTCTTTTGTTGTCAGAGAGGAGAGAGGACACGCATCCCAGCCCGATGCGAAGCCTGCGAGCATGGAAGGTAACTCTGTAATGACCCGCCGGCGTGTAGTCACAGTTCAACCTGGCAACGAACACCTTGGATGAACTCGATGAGACTCAAAATCTTTTTGACAAGATCGCTGCCAGAGGCAAGCTCATCCAAACTCTCCCATAAAAACAACAACACACACAAGCCAACAAAAACATCAACAAAAGAACCATTGCTTAAAAACTCAACGATGAAGTCAGCTTTCACTCTTACCTTTCTTGCTTCTCAAGTCAATGGAAATGGACTCCGAGGACTCCAATACTGCCCGCCTCCTGGAACTGGAATCACTTGTCCGGGCAACATCCATACTGTTGCCTGTGGAGATGGCTACAGATGCAAGTATGATAATGAGTGCTTTGCCAATGCTGCTGGGTTTGTCAACTGTCTACCTGTGGAGGATTTTTGCCCGCTTCCTGGACCCGGCGTCACTTGTCCGGGGAACATCAACACTGTAGGTTGCGGAAAAGGTTACAAATGCAAGTATGATAATGAGTGCTTTGCCAATGCTGCTGGATTTGTCAACTGCCTACCTGTGGATGATTCTTGTCCTACTCCTGGAACTGGAATGAGCTGCCGTAAGTAGATAGCGAGTGTGATGCAAGAGTGAATACAGGCCTTCGAACTCAATGACTTCCGGTTCCTTCTTTACAGCCCTGAACAAAGACATGGTCATTTGCAACCAAAAGTGCCAATACGGCAACATGTGCCTTGCAAATGCTGCTGGCTTTGCCTTTGCCTCTTGCACCCATCTACCACCACCCTGCAACCCCACCACTTCTTCAAACTGTCCTCCCATTCAGCCACCCCCAGTCACAAATCCCCCTGTACCACCGTGCAACCCAACCACAGGCGCAAACTGCTGAGCCCCTAACCAATTGATAATCCAAGAGACACAGCCATAGAGTATGCCTCTCATAGAAAGGCCAATACAAGCATAAACTTAGAAATGATACTACTGGATTGATCATTCTTCAAAATACATGTTTCTCAGTGTGTTTAAGCGTTCAGAATACTCGTCATAGCCCATAAACAAATTTAAGACAGCGGTCTCAAGGTGACATGACGGCGGTACAGAAATACCGAGAAAGGGCATGGACTCGGCCAACACTTCCAGGTTGCCAAGTAGCCGAATTTGGTTGAATTGTTGTTCGGAGAGATCCTCAGGGAGTGATCGCGAGGAGCGGAACCGCTCCAATTGGGGACAGTCACAAAAGGTCCACACATCCAATGTAGACACGTCGATCGAAACCAACGTCTCTGATTTGATCATCATAGCATTCAGGCCTCCTATTGGGAGGCCGAGATGTCTTTGTAATGTATGAAATCGCCTAAACCGGATTGTCAATTCCCTCAAGCAAGGCAGCTTTTCAACAAGCTGTAACCATGGATCAATGCTGTATTCGTTGTCACAAATAAGTTCCAGCCGCGTAATGCCGAGTTGAAAGAAGGCGGGGTTGGGGCTTTGATTGTATCCCCTCGAGAAAAAGCCGTCGAGAAATCGAACCGACAAAGTCTCAATGTTATCGCATTTGTTGACGATGGCCTCTTCCAGTTGCTTCATAGAAGTAGTGGCATCGGTGATATCATCGTTGTCTTCTGTTCTTCCTTGGCGTGGTGGTCTTCCTTGGCGTGCGGTATACACCAACTCAACTTTCCGCAAGTCTCTTGTTTTGTGCTTCTTTTCGAGGAGATCCATAACGGTAGCAGCGAGTCTGGGTGAATCCGAAATGCGCAGGGATCTGATTTGGAAATCATGTCGGTTTATCCACTTGACGATGGGATTCATCAATTGCCAGCATCCCATAGTGGGAACCAGATCCACATGCATGGGTCCTACAATGGAAGGGAGGTTGTCATCCGCAATTCGTTTCCATCGTTGGCAGACTTGTGCCACTTGACAATGGAAGCGGAAGGCGCTTCTCGCACTCGATCCAGTGCCTTGTCCCAGAAAGGAGAGGATGTGACGCCATATATGATCGTCTCCAAGAATGGTCGTAAGACTGGATAGGAGATATCTGGGCCACTGCCGGATCACCTGTGTATCATCAACAAGTTGTACGTCAATAGTGTCGTCATTGTCCGGGTGGCATCCAACCACTTTGGCAATCTTTCCAAAATGGATACCAAGTTCTGTCATGGTCGTGTCGTGATTCGCCCTTCCCAACACAATAAAGTCACCAATGCTTACATGCGGGCATGTTGGGCGTGGTTGAATTTCTACCGCCGAAGACCGATGGCACGAAGTAAGTGCTGACCAATCTTTCAGGCTGTAGCCATTGAATATCTTCTTGAGCGATGGCATTTCTTCAATATTAATATTGTCGCTGACTGGCTTTTGATTCTGTCTGTGTGTCTGTGTGTGTATATCTCTTTCGTTGTCTGGAAACTATGAAAATGGTCTCCTCCCTCGTTGACGACACACCCCTGGATCCCTCTCGGGTATTCGGGTCGGTCGAATCGGTACTCGAATCACGTCTGAAGTCTGAAACAGTTGCGTCGTTTTTTGCTACACGTATGCGTACTTCTCGGAAACCAAAATGGTCATTCGTGTTAAGGATTTCCGACCCAGGGGAAGGGTAACCTACAGGAGCTTTCTCAGATGGCTCGTTCTTTATGACATTGTTTCTGCGGTTGCCACAGATTGGGGCTGTTGGCTGTTGGCTGTTGATACCGAACATGCACGGCAACGGTTGCTTGTTCCTCGATGGATGGTCTTTGAGCAATGTGGAATTGATTGTGATTGTGATAGATTCTGGTAAGGTCCGGTGTTGAACTCTCCGGTAGGTAGGTAGATAGTCTAGGAGCTACCTAGATGGATGGCACGGTAGCTACGGTACTTGGCTAACTCTAGCTAGCTAGGAGTAGGAGTGAGTAACGGAGGTCCAGCGTGGGGACGATGCCCAACTTTTTGTTTTCCTCCTCCCTTTGGTTGGCAGCAGTGGTGCGTGAAAGTGAATGCACCTCTGCTGCTGAGACTATCTTACTGCATGTACTAGCTACAGTACTCTAGAGTAGTAAGGTGCTGTGTTTCACTGTCTGCTTATGCTTTTACTGTAAGTAAGTAAGTAAGTAAGTTTAGCTCTCTAATAATAGTAAGAATGGGTGTGATTAGTAGATGATGTATGTGTTGACATGTGTGTGTGTGTGTGTTTTCCTCTTGACGCCGTAAGTACTTGTAGTGTTTTACAGTACAGTTATGCACAAGCAGCGGCATGATCGTGCAATCCTCCCGCTTGTAGTGTTCCAAAAAGCATGGCATTTCTAAGAAACTCTTGTACTTGGGATTGTTCAAACATGGAGAAATTGTTGGGCTCTTGCAAGGCGGTCGTGGACTGGACAAAGAGTTGCTGAAAACAAGCGGTAGCATCGTCTTGCAACACTGCAAGAATACATGCCTGATTGTTGCACAATGCCAGTGACATGAGCAGCAAATCGTCGGCACAGCAACAGAGGGTAGCTGGCGTCAAGCGCTGTTGGAGTGTGTGCAACGCCTTGGCAGATTCTTGATAGAGCGCCAGGGCTTGTCGAAGAGCCGCTGCTTGTTCTTGACTCTGCTTAGGACACCGTTGCGCATGTTGGTGATGAGCGAGTGCGAGGTTGAAGAGAATGGTCGCACAGTAAAAGGCAATCTCAGCACTGGAAGGGATCATAGTGGTAGCAGCAGTGAGTGTAGAGGAAGAAGAAGTGGAAGGATTAAAGGTGACCGTACAAGAGTAAATGTAGAATCGATCGTCTTGGAGAAACGGAACTTCCACAGAAGAACGAGCGGAAGGAAGACAGCCAGTAGTGCTAGTAGAAGCAGGGCTTGAAGAAGTAGAAGTAGGGGTATCCTCCATAGTAGTATCCATAGCTGAAGTAGAAGTAGGAGTCTGTTTGGTAGAACATCTACTACTACTACTGTCCATGGTGGAAGAAGCAGCGGGACAGACTTGTGCTGGCGCCACTGCATGCTGCTGCTGTTGTTGTTGCTGCTGCAAGTGATGGGCATGAGTAGTCTGTTCACAGACTGTCATCATTTGACGCACAGCATTCTCGAAAGAACGAACGGCATCAGGGAACGCGCCATCGGCTAGTTCATATACCCCATCTTCATTAAGCTCAGCCGCTCGTTCCATCAGACTCATCACGTTCATTGTACCACTGCTAGTGCTCATCATGTTCATGTTCATTGTGCTACCGGTATTAGTAGTGCTCATTGTATTGTATAACGTAGTTGGTTAGAGTTTGGTTGCTTTGGGATTGAGAAAAGAATATATTTTTGAGATCAATCTTGAGAGAAGCAAGAAAGAGGAGATGGCAGAAAGAGATGCTCAGCAACCTTGGCTAATACCGAAATGGGTCTGTTCCAAACCAATCAAATAGCTACTGTACCGTACTCACCTGCCTTTCTTGCACACTTCGCAATTTTTCAAGACCAAACTCAATGCATTCGCCATTCCATGGGCCGCCATTTGGTGGACCACTCCGCACAAAGAAGATAAAGAAGATAAAGAACAAACGGAGAACAAAAGGCTCATCCTTTCCCAAAAAGAAGAAGAAAGGGTAGCATGATTTCACCACTTAACAGTCAATAAACTATCAAACAACACTTTTAAGTCTTCACGGGACCAAATAATACCTCACTCTAAATCATACATGTCTTAGTTTCTAACAGACTTAGAGAATCAGTCATGCTACAGCAAGCGAGATATTCTCCTGTGCTCCTTTTTAACAATAAAACACAGTTCATAACGGGGAAGCCTTACCTCCGGTTTACAGAAAGCATTCTAACAATCAATCCGAACTGCCGATCGATTGAAGTGCGCATGCTACGCTACCGGTGGTATCGATACTGTAGCTATGAATAGACTACAATGTGCTCTCCAGAAACATGCTGTAGCTACAACATGTAGAGAGTCACGTATGCCTTCTTTTCACGGGAGTATCAGCTACGGTATCACATCCATGGGCTGTCCTGTCCATTGGTAGCTCTCTAAATCTTCTGGGGTCGAGCTTGGACAAGTCATAGAATGAACATATTTTAATTGAATGTAGGGATTTGTCAGCGAGGAATTTTTGGTCCGAATTGGATTCCTCCAATATTTTTCAGGATAGTTTAGCACTGTACACATCAGATACCAATGTAACCCCTGAAAAAGAATGCGTCGGAGAAACATCAAACGTACTGGCTCACGCACTTACTTTCCTTCGTGTTTCGACGCTTTTGGTTGGGCAGGTGTTGGAAACCATCGGCCTCAGCTGCCTCATCACGGCTTTCTGCACTGAGTATCGACCATCCCCAAGCTTCTCCATGGTCCTTTTGTTCTGCCTTGCCCAAAAAGAACAAAAAGAATACAGAACGCCAGATGGCTGTTTCCTCCTGTCTATCTGGTTTCAGGGTGGGAAAATAAATGTCCTCGATTGGTGAATCAACTCCGGTCACTAGTGAGTCCACAGTGATGAAAAGCTTCCGTAACGTCTTAGGAAGTTTACTGGGAGACGACGGTTAAAGGAGCTTCCAAGAACAATGTAATTCCTAGAGTTCCTAACCTTAGCTGTGATGGTCCGCGCTTCATGTTTCAGTGAAACATGCTACCTGGTAGGGTCGTGCTTTCACCGGTTATGTATAAATAGAATTCTATTTTAAGGCTACTCTGAGTACGACTATCCACCGTGCCGCTACCCTAAACCGATAACCCCCACAAACATTGGGGCGGAGAGAGTTGGCCCCCTCAGCCGGGAAAGTTTAAACCCAACCGAGGCAAGATATTAGGGGGGAAGGTCACCAACCGGACCCGCCCGTGCTGCTGCTGTCATCAGCACTGCTACTAGCTGCACTATTGCTGATAGTGTCAACACTGCTGTCATCTAAATCAAGGTCAGACCCGAAAGCCTGATCCAAAGTTGCTGCTGCCTCATGGAAGGCTGCGGCCAGTTGTTGCTGCTCTCTACTTGCTTTGTCCACCACTGGCATCCAATTTGAAAGCCAGGCTTTGATTTCGGATGGTGCCATTTCCATTTGTCCTCTAGTGGCCTTTTGAAAATGAGTTACAAGAGACAGTGGCACCTGTCTGCCTGCTCATACAGAAGCTCTACTTCCCGTTGAAGCTTTTGCTGCTTCTTGATCCACTGCTGCTGTTTATCACGTCCATACCTGGCTGCATTGCGGTCATCCCACAGTAGAAACCATTGTTGGAGTAAGAGATGACCAAGTTGGTAGTCCATATGGTACCTTTTTTCTTGGATGTATGCTTTTGAACATGATGGAGATAGTCTCCCTGGTGCTTGTCCACAATTTGGAGAGTCGGCCCTTGAGGAAGTTGTTCCCCCCAATGTGGTTCTGGTCGATGACCAGTTGATCATACCTTTCTGGGAACTCAGATTGGGTAAAGATGCTTGCCTGCGAAGAAGCACTCGAGCCCTTGCAAAGCAATGGCTAACAGGGATGGATCAGTATCCATTTCGCAGTTGTTTGCTGACAGCCTGCTGCATGTTGTCCTCCACAGTGTTGGATCTTCATGAGTGCACAGTAGAGATGGGCTGCTGTTTCATTGTCGCCACCCACAGTGTGGGCACCGATGATCGTACTTGCATCATACTTGTGGACCCTTTTGCCCACTGGAAGAATGTCAAACAAAAGCTTCCCAGTGTTGTTTTTCTGGTCTCGTGCCTGTCTGCCATGGGCTGTCCAATCAATCAGATCTGAGTGGTATCATCCCATTGAGTGTTGTTCTGGACATGTTCTGCAGCACTGCGGGATCATTGCGTAGATCCCTCAGGGTGCGTGGCACCTTGTATGTGCAGGTCCGCCGGGAAGATGCAACTGTGCCAGGTTCACGGGGAACCGAAGCACCACTGTATGATCCACTCCTTGTGTGTAGCCATAAAGGCACCGCCAGCTTGTCTGCTTTGCAATTGAGTTGGGCCTTTGTCGGCAAGGTCTCAATAGCCCTATCTTTGTCTGGTGGCTCTTGATGTGCTCCATTGTTGGAACACTGAGAGCCTTTCGAAAAGTCTCTTCAATCTGTTGAAGCACATCCCAGTCCGACTTCAATGTGTCATTGCTTTCACCGGTTATGGTAGCATGTCTTGGACGCGGACCGGGTGAATCTTTGGGGGACCGGGTGAATCTTTGAGATAACCTATAGTAAAATAGTAGGAATTGGGTGCAGGGTCATGGCGGTAATAATAGTATCGCCCTATTCACATCCTTACCCACACTTGATCGGTGTACTAGTATCTTTAGGGTTATCGCCTCGTGCGTCAATCGGAACATTCTGGGTTACAGATACTCGGAAGCTAGAGGTGTCAGATATCGTTACGGATACTCGGAAGCTTCTAGTCCGTGCATCCGCACCTCTGTGGGCTGCCGGCCTGCCGATGGCCTCGGTAGCCTTGCTCTTGGGAGTTATTGACGTTCGAGTTACGGATACTCGGAAGCTTGAAACTCGTCCTACACTTACGTGTCATAAAACCATGGAAAAGAGACTTGTCGGCAATGGAGTCTCCCGGAGGCTTAGAGGACATGAGTATGCCTGAACAAGTGCACTACGCTAAAAGCTAGTGTAAAGATCTTTCGATGTTTTTTGAGTTTGAGAGAATGAAAGTTATGAGAGAGATTAGAAAGCTATGAAAACTAATCAACGAGAGAGATCATCATCAAGGGATCGTAGATCTGGCTTCCCCGCGGGAGACTGTAAAGTGTGATAGAGTAGTTGTGGTAGTAATCCTCGTCTTTCCACGATCCTAAAACGGAACGCGTGAAGGTTGTCTAGCCTGGATTAGTAGCGGGAAGTACTCCACGCTAGCTAAATATTCAGACGATGTTCATCATCAACCTAGTATGACTAGCAGGTCATTGAGAACCCTGTCTCAAATGACTATTCACAAGAGACTCAGTCATGAGTCGAACTCAAACCTATCTAGGATCGAGTCGCGAATAAGGCTAAGAGCCGTGTATTGCATTCGCCCCTGACAAGGGTCACAGAAGGCGCGACAGCAGTCGGACAAGGAGAACATATGATTTAAAGTGCGGGGCACTCTCATGAGATTTGATGTAGACATGTGCGTCGCACGATGGCAACCTACAAGGGGATCAGGCTTGTATGGGTGTATATACCTTATGTTCCAAGTCTGGTAGACTGTGCCGCCGTTGGCGGTAGCATGTTGGAGCCGTACAGTGCCATTGTCATTGACTCGGTCTATAGTGTAAGGACCTTTGTACTTGGGCTGACCGTACTTGCGGTGCTGATACTGTTGAATCATCACAGTATCGTTGACATTGTATGGGAGACCCGCACAAGATAGCATACGGAAGGATAGCACAAGACGTTTTCTGCTAAATCTTTGGTGTCGTTACATTAAATATTTACGTATAACGCAGCTGCCGGTCCATTAAATAGTCGCCGGTCATTTTCGAGGACAAGAGGCCTTCTTGTATACATCCCTGAATAAAAAGAATGTTCGTTATACTCATCTTCAGCACGATGATTTTTATACACCTGTCACATTTGGCGCGGAAAATCACTGAACCCGCACCCTACTAACAACCAAGGCGATTGCAGCAACGCCACACGACAATGGTTTCCGCCGCACTTTGCCACACAACGATGGTTTCCGCGGCACTTCGATGCAACCTTCACAATCAATGACGGCACGCATCTAGAAGCGGAAGTCTTGGGAATCGAGGAATACAGGGGAAGGAGTGTCAGGCACAGCGGCATTGCGCAAGTTCGCAATGAGTCAATCTTCCTCGTCCGAGTCGAGCTCATCTGGAAACGCATCGTCTTCTTCCGAAATCCCTGTCTCGTCGTCGTCAGAGATCCTCGTCTCGTCGCTGTCGGAAGCTTCGCCATTGTCCTCATCGGGCTGAACACGGAGGGGTTCAAGAGCCGCAGCCAAGTTGTCGACGGGGTCATTGGCAGGTGTGAAAGCAACCGTCATGACGTTGCCTTCGATCTTGATGTCTGCCCCCATCTCTTCGAGAGCACGCTTGACTTCTGCTGCAGCGGCAGCCGACAACCAGCCAGAGAGTAGGGTTTTGTCAGTCATGATGAAAGAGACTGGAGAGCTAGAAAATGAGACGAAAGAAGAGGCTTGTTGTCAAGTTGCCTCCTGCGTCTCCGCGATTTTGGCGGCAGTTTCAGATTTTTGTGCTGAAGCATCCATTCAAATTTGGATCCGACCCATTCAAATATGGAGACTCCCATCCAATTGCCGAAGAATCGTCCATTCCTTGCCAATGCAAGCCGCCCAGACTCCTTCTATTGTTTTGCTTGTGAATCGCCATTTTTCAGGACTGTGAGCAATGTCGTTCCACCCAATGCAGACAACCACGGGGCAGCCCGCCACTGCCGTGTCACGATGTTCGATGCGATTGCTTTGGTTCAAGGACATGGAAGTAACACTGCGTGAGACACACGTCCAAGGCGAGCTTAGCTTGCTCACCAACAGAGATACAAGTTCCCCTGCCACCAACGGCACATGCGACTACATGCTTCAGATGAAAACGAAGAAGGTCGATGGCGGTAAGGACGTAGCCGACACTTGCAACATCGTTCTTGGATATGGCAAGTGGACGATTTCCCAGCCAAAGGCTATCCGAAGCGGACACGGCAATCATGAAGTACTCTACGTGAAGATCTCGTTTGAACGGTGCAGAGCCAATGAAGTAGACGCGATCAAGCTAGCTCTTCCCATCATCGAAGGCGACGACTCTGCTCAGAGACTCTTTGTTGCAGCTCTCCTTCACGCAGAGTCGAATACCGCATGGCCTAGAGGAATGATGTGTGTGTGCTTGGCTGGTCTTGACATGGAGCGAATGTGATCAGTGGTTGTCTAGCTGAGAGCTCGCAGTCGTCCTAAACCAAAATAGTTATTTGCTTGTTACTACACTTTCATTTGTCTCTAGTCGTCCTCATCATCATCATCGCTCTCATCATTTTGTGTTTCACAAGTGTTGCTGGGAGCAACGGCGTAATCTGCTGTTTCTGCCATGAAATCCTCTCTCTCTCTTCGTTGTGCGACGATGGGACTTATCGTTTGCTCCTTTGACTTGATCTCTCTTTCAAGCTCCGCCATCTTTGCCAACACTTTCTCTTTCGTGAGATTCAATGCTTTGAGACTGGATGCAACAGCGTCAGCTTTGTCGCCAGACTTGAATACTCCAAACAAACGAGCCAGAGCCACTCTTCGCCACCCTTTGACGACATCCCATTTCCAAAAGCCGTCGCTGAGTTGTGTCTTAAGGTCGACCGCTTTTTGATGAAGCGTCTTCAGCTTGTCGAGCTCATCAATTGCACTCTTTTCCGTCTTCTCCAAAGCTTTGAGCTCCTCTTCTTTGCTTTGTCTCTGAAGCAAGATGCCGGCAACTACTCCGCTCTTGCCCAAATGCGTGGCCGTGCCGGGACGACGGTTCCGCTTTCTCCTCTTCGCCGCGCCTCCTGTCTTTGCTTTCATATCAATCATCATTTTCATCAGTGTCGTTTCCATCCTATAACCCACAGCGGATACGTCCGTACCAACTCTCGTGACAGATATCTCTTTTGTCACACCCTCCCTCGAAACCGGGACAACCGTCGTGAAAGGATCCAGCACAACCGCTTCAAAGTCATCATAGAGGTCTGCCATGCCCATATCTTCGTCTTCTAAGAGGTGCACAAGTTGGCTTGCAAAGTGCGGATGTTTGGTTCGCAATCGTTGTATTATTGCCTCCAAGTTTCTTGTCAAATGGAGACCATCGGCAACTTCCGTGGCTTCTGCGTACATGCTGCTGTTTAGCTTCTTTCTTGCTACGCGAGCTCGCTTTTGCCCTTTTCTCTTATCCTTTTTGGTAAGAGCGTAAGCGGTATCATCGGCGCCATCGTAGTACTGATCCAAAACTTGAGCAAAGCTCGACGGAGTGAAGTTCCGACTAGCACGTCTGTCGTTGTCGAATTCCATAAATTTGGAAGCGGATTGCTTTGTGAGGTTAACGAGCGAATTGTCATCTCTCTTGCGAAGCATGATTGAATGGCCAAACATCAGAACCGAAAGCTTTGTTTCAAGCTTGTCTCTGGCAATTGCATCGGCCGACCGTGTGCACGTAGTGTCGACATGGTTGTCATCCGTAACCGCCACATAGTGGACTAGTTTCAACGCGGCCTTTTCAAGATCGTCGGTTGGTTTTGGGGGACGAGATAGGTCTCGCTTTGGATCAAGCACGTGCTTCCCCAACAGCTGATCGGCAATGGCAAACGCAAGAAACAACGTTGGAACCTCGATTGGATCCGTGTCGTCTCCACCATTCATGAAATCGTCAGACGGGAGGAAAACCTTTATCGTCGCCTCTTCTTCATCGCTAAGACATTCTCGATCGTTGATTGGTTTTGCTTTCGTTACCCAGATAATGTCAGGTATGGGCTCTCCGGATTCCCGTCGTTGCTCTTTCAGCATCTTATTCAGACCGTGAAAGTTCTGAATAGCTAACTGCCAGCCTTCATTTTGATAATCCATGGGATACAAGCCGGTCTTTTTGAAAGAGGATGCTACAGCATTGCTTCCAGTTCGTCTCAACTCATCATTCTGATCAATGCAATTCTTTTCCAGACCTGCACGAAAAATGCTGTTGGCATCCAGATAATCAAGCGTCTTCCCAACAAACAAGCCCTGCTTGTGTGCTTCCATCGCAATATCCTTAGCCGTCAGTTCATTCTTCCCGTTGTCACAAGGCTGAGACCATATGGATGTTTTGGACGGCAACACGAACAATAGAATGTTCAGTCGAAAGAACGCCGTAATAAGAGACTGAGGACACTCACGGGAGCAATGCCAATCCAAGAAGAGGATGACACCCAGTCCATTCTTTCCTTGGTTCTGCGGTAGTTGGCTCGAGAAATGCAACAAGAAATCATAGAATGTCCGCTTCAGCATACTGCCGGTTGGTGTTGTTCGCACTTGGAAGCCAAACTTGTTAACGATCGTGTCCTTCTTCCCAACTTGATAGTCATTAAACCAACCTCTGAGCACAGCATCATTCAATGGTATGACGTCTGCTTCTGTCTGATTGGCCAAAAGTCTGTCCCGATCAGCTTTGTCCATGCTATCCATTGCGTGACTGCTAGACGCATCAGAGATAAGCACAAACGGAGCAGGGGCACCTTCCACACACTCATGAGGATGGCATTGGACACCATCTGCTCGCACAACGTTCGCCACGCTGTAATGAAATTGCATTTTCCCATCTCCTTCCCTTGTGTTTTGAAACAACCTTGGCCTCTCCAGCATCTCTTCTGGAATAAGAACGGGGTTTCGAAGATGTGTTGGGTTTGGTCCTTGCTCGTCAGTGTTGTAAATGCGAGTTGGAGGGACGTTAGCATATCTGTTTTCAGGCCAAACGTCTGGATCGATTTCATGCGCAAGCTTTATGTGGGCATCCACTTGATGATAAAACGCATTCAAGACGGAGCTCTCTGCTTGAGCGGCTCGTTTTGGATCGATTGGATTCACATTTGCCTTTGCTTTGAGACGTCCCTGCTTGTAGAGTCTTTCGACCGTATCCATGCTAATGCCACCAATACTATTCGTGCCACGAGCAATCCCATCGGCCTCGAGGAATGCATCAGCCCATTGCTTAAGATTTGCCTTTTCCAAAGGAAATCCAGCTTTGGCAAAAGCGCCAACACCCTCACACATCGTTGCTTCTTCAGCGTGATCGAAGTACGAATTTGATGAGGGCCGCAGATCGCGAGCTGTTGTGGAGTTTTCAGCAACAGATGCAGACGCTTTTTTCTTTGTTGTCGCGGGATACCTGCTTGCCAGCTTGGCTCTCAACTCGTTGCTTTCCGGCAAGACATTGGCTTCCAAATCGGCTTCGAGCTGGAGACTTCTCCAAACATCCTGTATACGTCTGTACTGGCGCTCATCTTTCAGAACCTTGATGCAATAAGATCTTACGCTCTCTTTTTGTCCCAATGCTTTAGCGCTTGACAAGTAGTGGTATAAGCTGAACAGCAACGTCTGCCATTCTTGGTCACTCCGCATTTCATTCTTTTTGTTGGATCGATTGCGGCCGGACCGCTGTTGTTCCGAAGAGTTGTCGTCATTCACTGGATACATTCCATTAATCTTATCCATCAATTCAGAGCTGCTTGGTTCCACTTTCCGCGAGAGGAAGTCCTCAAGACCTAGTTGCTTCCAAACGTGATGAATTCTTTTGTATTGAGACGTCATGTTTTCAGATTGATGACAAAATCCATGGAGCGTCAGTTTGTCCTCTTCCGTCTGGGCTGTGGCATGGCTGTTCCAAAGAGCGGAATATATTTCGAGCAAGTCCTTTTGCCACTCAAGGTTGTTCCTTGTCTTTCGCTTGAATGGTGCCCGCTTCTTCGTGTTGGCAATGTTTGTTTCAACAGGACGTAATGGCAATGGTTGTCCTGCCAAGGGACGAGCCACGGGACCTGCCATTCTGTTCAATGAGGCGTGCGGTATGCTATTCAACATCATGGTCGCGATTGTAATGGAGCGCCATATCGGAACAACCTTTGGTCATGACAACATTCAAACCTTGGGCGGCAACAACGGATCTTTGTTGTGGGATTTTCAAGGGAAAGAACAATTATTTTTGGAATTTCGTCAATCGGGGATCGCACCATGGTCAAAGACCTTCATTGAAACAAAGGCACACTCAAAGCAAACACCTACACTGCTCTAATAACTGGCCTGATATCGTCGTATATGCGCTCCATCGTCGCAGTTGTTGTTTTGATGCGGATCGATCTTTCGATCGAAACCGCAGCTGCGCTTCGGCACCTTGGACGCACATGGAGAAAAAGTGGCTCGACAAGGTCGGCGAACGAAAGACGTCCGTTTTGTCTAAATACAATCCGTAAAGATGTTAGAGGAGCGTTTCGGTCAGTAGTCACAATTTTCCTCATGTCGTTGATTAAGTAGTTTGGATTTAGAGGCTTGATTTATTTTGTTAGAAGTCCGACATCTTGTTCCACACCTGTTGTTTTCGGTGTGCTATCTCCTATGCGGGTCTCCCATATTGATGAGGGACACGCGTTGCGTTTTCCCTATCGTTGTTTTGTTGGATTAGTCGTTGGCGACGTTCCTTAATGTACTTCCAGTTGGCTTCGAACCGGACGTTGTGAATCGCGTCACGATTGAACACGAGCTGTGCGGGCGTTGCGCACAAGGTGGTATGAATCGTGGCATTCATTGCAAAGCGAACCGCCGTGAGGACTCCATCCCAGATCCATTCACGAGGTCGTCTTGGCACTTGATGTTTTGAACAGCGATCAAGTTACGTATGGTTTGATGAGCACGCTCGACCATAAGTTGGCTTGAGGTTACGCGTGTGATGAATTGCGACGAAGTCCATATTCATCACGGAGAGTCTTCTCGACTCTCTGCGCGAACTCGCGTCCTCTATCCATGATAACCTCAGCAGGCCGGATACCGGGTAAGCCAGTTTGTTCTAGACGATGGCTACGTCTGCTGCCTTGGAGCAGATCTCTGCAATCTCGAACACACGGTTACGGGATCAATCATTGTCAAGCAATGAAGTGTGCAGGAATTCTTTTCTTGGGATCCCCGACGTTGTAAAGGGCCTATCAGGTCAATACATAGTCTTCCAAGGGATCTCCTCGCAAGTCTTGGAGGCATCAATCCAGCTTACGCGTCTGGTTTGTTCATCTGGCAGCTTTGGCAACGCTGACATACGGCCTCTCACAGTCTGCGCAGACCTCTCCAGGTGTAGTGTTGGCTGATGTTAGTTCGTGCGAGTCTCGCCAGGATGCATCAGCACACCATGGTACCATTCAACTAGCTTTTTCTGCATAGTTTTAGGCACGACGATTTTCTCGTCCTTAACTACTAGTCGTAGGACTTATCCCCTCTGGGGAAAGATTGCTTCTTTGTAGTCGTTTGGCTTGTCCCTGAGGATTCTTGATATCGTATCGTCTTCTGCGATGTTCGAACTCGGGAACGAGAGAGGAACTCGCTAGGAAGCCTTTTCGTCTCACCATGAGTTCAGCGATCTCGCTGCGTCCATCTGTTCTGAAGAACCGTTCGTTGTTGAGATGTTAAGTCTCGACAACGCATCGCGACGATGTTCTGTTCGCCCTTGATGTACCGTAGTTCAGGCGTATTCTTCCAGAATAAGGCGCCATCGCATTACGCGATCGGTATTGAATTCTCCATGTAAGATTCTTGTGGTCCGTTATGTACAACGATCTTCTGTCCTAGAAGAAGTTTACGGAACTCTTTTAGAGTTCTACGATACTGAGAAGTTCCTTCTCGGTAACTGTTAACGTGCCTGAGCAGGGTTGAGCTTCCTGCTGTAGACGCGATAGGGTTTCCCTTCTGGAAATTACCGCAACCTAGTTGAGTATCACTCGCATCCGTGTGGATAACGAATGTTCGTTGAAGTCAGGGTAGGCGAGCAAGTTTCTTTGCTATGATCTTCTTCATCTGGCTAAAGGCCTTGTCGTGTTCCGCTTCCCATTCCACTTCGTTGTTTTGGAAGTCGAACGAGTGGGGCCAGTACATGTGATCGTCTAATCCACATGTCTCGATAAGTTCACAGTCCAATTGATCTACGGAGTTCCTTCCTGTTGGTAGGAAGAGCGAATTCTGATCGCTTCTATTTTCTTGTTATAGGGTGGATCCCTCCTCGAGTAATCCAGTAACTATATTCAAGTTCTCCTCTTCGAAGAAGGACTTGGTAGCATTGATCTTAAGTCCGGCTTCTCAAGCCTTCGGAGAACTTCATCCACTTTTCAACTTGATCGCCAGATCGCCTTTAGTTAGGATGAGTAGATCATCAATGTATGAAGGACGTATTCTAGGTCGTCATTATGTTCCCATCTTCTCTTGGAAGATGTCGGGACTATTACATAGGCCCATTGGCAACCTCTGGTACTCGTACTTTCCCCACGGGAGTACGATGGACAGAGTTGCTCGAGTGAGGTGACAGCTCGATGTGAAAGTATCCCAGTTTCAGGTCTAGACTAGTAGCGACTTGAATCCATCTAGATTCAAGAGCATGTCCTGTATTTTTTGGGATAGGATAAGGCTTCCGCTTAATCCTTTTGTTCAGTCCCCGGAAATCAGAGATGAATCGTACAGATCCGTCTTTTTGGGAATGATAAAAGTTGGTGCCGCCCACTCGGACGGTTACCTTCTTGAGTACTCCTGCTTCGCAGAGAGTTCAACCTCATCTTAAGAGTGTTGGTATGGACCCGTGGATTAGGAGAAGCCCTGCATGATAGGGTTTAGCACAGGGAGAAGTTCTACTTCGTAGTCGTCCCATCTGCCACTTTCCAAAGTACCATCGAATAGGTCAGAGTACTTCGTCAGTAAGGAGTGAAGCTGTTCCTTCTCTTCCGTGTTAACTGATCTTGCTTGGCAAACCTGCTTAAGTCAGCTTGTTCGTATTTCGCATCAAGAATCTTCTTGAGACGATCTGCACTGTCTCAACAGCGGTAGGATCAGGAATGAAGAAGTTCCCTTCTTCATTGGTGTCGCTATCTTTCATAGGAATAGATGCCGTCCCATTCCAACTGACATGGTATGTAAACAACTTAATCTAGATCAGAGAAGAATGCTCGACTATGATCATGTCTTGCCCCCAAGTCCTTGGTGACGTGTAGATCCACTCGATAATTCTCTTCGTGGAATTCAGGATCATAAATGCACCTTGCACTTCGTGCTGGTGTTTAATTCTCCTGCAGGGTAGTCCACATCGTTTGGACGCCCCAAAGACCTTCATGCGTAATTTCTAGCATGAGTTGAGCAATCAGAGGTTCCGGATGCTCCTCTATCCAGTTAGCAACGGAGTGTAACGGTTTTTGTTTCCCTTTTTCGCTTGTTAAATCTAAATAGACGATGGGTTTGAGGTCTCTGTCTTGCGACGTTTACGAGGTGGTTGGCCACGGACGAGGTTAACGATGCTAAATAGATCATCAGAATCTAGTTGAGCAGCTCCTAGGCAATCATCTAATTGCCGTAGATTCATCAGTTGCAAACAATTCTTTTTACTATTTAGTGAGATACTCTTCATCACTTTGGTATGAGAAATCGGAACATGTTCCGTTGAGTCATCATCCTGGCTTAATCCTCAGATAGAGATTTCTCCATCCAAGTGATTAAAATCGATAGAGGAGTTGTCCTCATTGTCAATTTTTCTGATTTGCGCTGGCAACATGTTGCAAGTTTGCAAGTGGTTGTACGAGTATCGTCGATCTCGTTTTCTTCGTCATTGTGACGAGAGAAGAATGGGTTTGCACGCAACTGTTTTTCGAAGTTGGGAACGACATGCTTTCCTTAAGCCATCTTCATGGTGAAGGAAAGCTTGAGGGTAGCTGAAAGCTATGGTGTTTGTAACAAAATGACTACGCAAAAGCTAGTGTAAAGATCTCTCGAGTGTTTTGAGTTTGAGAGAATGAAAGTTATGAGAGAGATTAGAAGCTATGAAAAACTAATCAACAGAAGAGATCATCATCAAGGGATCGTAGATCTGGCTTCCCGCGGAGACTTAAAGTGTGATAGAGTAGGTTGTGGTAGTAATCCTACGTCTTTCCACGATCCCTAAAACGGAACGCGTGGAAGGTTTGTCTAGCTGGATCTAGTAGCGTGGAAGTACTCCACGCTAGCTAAATATCTAGAGCGATGTTTCATCATCAACTAGTTATGACTAGAATCGGTCATTGAGATACCCTGTCTCAAATGACTATTCACGAGAGACTCAGTCATGAGTCGAACTCAAACCCTATCTAGGATCGAGTCGCAAATAAGGCTAAGAGCCGTGTATTGCACAAGAGCTAGTAATCTTAAACTACATGCTCCGAGCGGGTTTGATTACTAGGGAGGATACAAACAATTGGTAACATACATGAAGCAGACGACGTTGGCAACTATTGCGGAGGAAGAGGGCGTTGATATCCTCATTGGATGTTACATCCAAAGAAACCCAGGAAGCCTGCTACGGTTCGAGATACACTTAGCATTTACTTTGGAAATGATGGCAAGCTAGCGCCTAACTCAGCGCCATTGTTCTCGATGGAGAGTTCTTCTTGGAGTTCACTCACTAACCAGGAGAAAGCTTCCTCTGAAAGTTGGGTGCACTCGAACTCGGATGGTATTGTGGTGGTGGCGTCATCATTTAGAATGAAGGCTCCTTTGATGTATGGGTTCCCGCGGAGGGACATTCTTCGAACGAATATTAGATAGGGCATTGCTCCTTGAGTCCACGTGTGTTCCATGAACGCATCTTGGTCTTCACCATTTGACGGGAAATAGAATTTTAGGGGTTGCATTTTGCTTTCTTCTCATAAAATGTATGAGAGTTCAATAGGTTTTGAATTGTGAGTAAACATGACAATGACAACTAAACATTACCAATTCATGTTGTTCTTCAATTGCGAAGGGAGTGGGAAGGGACGGCCACAAGCAGAGAAATGGCGTGAAGACGCGTTGGCTTACCTTAAAAGACTGTTTGAGAATAAGGCAGGTTTTGCCTGTATTGCTCGAGATGAAAACAAGACCTCTCTATTATTTTAAAAAAGGGGGTATGTAAACCTTAAATCACCTTGTCAACAGGCATATTTCAAGGGGATGCTTGGAAAGTACGCAGCGTCTGCAAACCGTCCTATTTTGGGGAGATGGTGAGCCTCTGTCGGTTTGTCCACATTGATAGGGATTTAACAACCGTAGGGCGGCTACAAGTCAACGGGGCTAACCCTTTATGCAAGCCATTTGCAGGTGATCCTAAGTTCATTGTGAAGATTCTACTTGATTCTATAGACAAGAAAGACTTAAAGAGAAAAGGAGTTGAAGAACAAAGGCCTGACGAGGTGAACGACCTGGCTGAAGCAGTTAAACCTACTAGTATGAATTAAGATTTAGGCGGCGAGCTACTACAGGCACGTTTCTTCCCAGTGTTGTTTACGTGGTCCATATGAATGACTTTGAAGTGGCGGTTGAGGACATCGACTAGCTCTTCGTCTATAGCGCCTTCTTCATCTGGTTTGCCAAAGAGAGTTTCAATGCTGTACTGGCTGGTGATTACAAGGCGTTTATGCCTAAGATGGACGGTACCACCTTTGGTTTCCCCTGTGCACGGGTAGTGGTCAGCCCAACGTTTCAGATAGTGGCTGAGACATATCCCTTTCTTGTCGAAGTCGTCGAGAAGAATTGTATCCTCACCAGCGTACCCATCAAACCATTTGTTCTGAGGCTTGTCGAATAACGAATCGCCGTAGTCTTTCCAGACACTACTGGATTTACCGACACCTGAAGGGCCCCAGATCCAGATGCCACGTAGAGTATCGGAACGAAAACCTTCAGTGGTGATGAGTTGGTATGCATTTAACCCTTTGAAGCTGTTTACAAATGTAGTACAAAACTCCTTTGCTACATCTCTCACACTTGCACCTTCATCGATTCTGTTGCATGCGGCTTCCAGGTCTGTGCGTTGGCCTTGGGTGGGACATTTTCCTTTTTCAAAGGAGTCTATATCCGCTCCATAATTGGGTCCTGAAGTATTGAATTCATCCCATTCATCTTTGGATTGAGATCCTTTAAGACAGTATTCGCGGTTAATTCTAGAAATAGATTTTGCTGTCTCCCAATGGGCTCGATCGTTGATCTTCTTCATTGCCGAAAATCTTTTCATTGATTTGAAGGTCATGAATCCTTGGAGATGAGGTGTTCCCGACTCTCCTATCTCTCGTCCATACACTAAGTATGTACATCCAGGGAGTTCTTGAAGGGATATCTCTTCTTCTTCGGTGTAATTGTTCAGCGTGAAGGTCCATCTTTTACTGCTTTGGGTTGGGTTTGTGCTCGTCGGCATTTTGAAAAATGTGTTGAAAAGGTGTGAACTTGAACGCACAATTTCTCTAATTTAATCAATATCCTTCCAGCTCTACTGTCTAGTAGACTGGCTATTCGTTTCGTTTTCTCTTTCTCTCTCGTTCAGATTGTGAGCTCTACAACTGAGCTCCGATATGCATACATATACCAGGATCTTTCGATCCTCTGTTTCTCGCAGTTTCATTTGCAGATAGATCTCGTCGATCTATCTTCCTGAAGTGCATGGTTGGCCCTGGAGGGCTTTCCCACTTTACTAAACCTATGGACCTTCATCCGTCCATTCATTTGCTCCGTCCCATCGCTCCTTGCATTCGTCTCTTCGACCTAACTTTAGGAGCTGGGAACTCCCCTGCCTTATGGCTGTTTATTTCGAGCACACTATTTGGTTGTTTCAAGCCCTATGCAACTGGTGCCACCTTTGCCAGCCCAGATGGATCAAAGCAGGTCAAGCTCTTCATGACGGGGTTTGTGGATGATACGAATTCAAGAACGAATTGCTTTCTGACCAACACTATTCCCTCAGTGCAGGTATTGGTGGAGAAGGCAACCAAAGATGCTCAATGGTGGAGTGATCTTCTGTGGTCATCGGGTGGCAAGCTAGAGGCTTCTAAGTGTTCCTTTCATCATCTCCGATATGAGTTTCGAACCAAAGCTGGTCTCGGGGACTGACTTTACACCATCCATCAAGGTGGAATCCACTGATGGGATCGTTACGCCGATCAAACCAGTCGACAACTACAAAGATCACAAGTCACTGGGATGTTTCAAAGGCCCGGCTGGAAATCTCGCAGCACAGAAAGCAGCCTTGATCAAGAAATGCACCCACTATACCAGAGTTCTGAAGGGATCCCCATTGAATAGACGGGAAGCCAACATGTTCTATCGAAGCATCTTCCTTTCGAGTGTGGGTTACTGCTTGGAGACCACCTTCTTCAAGGATGTCGATCTCGATACCATTGAATCGGCTCCACGCCGAGCTGCACTTCAGAAGATGGGGTATCGATCGAATACTGCGAAAGTGATCTGCTATGGTTCCTGGCGGTTAGGGGGTATAGAAATGTTTCGACTCGCTGACAAGCAGGGAATCGGGGTCATCCAGCAGTTCTTAAAGCACTGGAGGACGAGGTGCACCGACATTGGAGACCTAAGTGAAGTCGCATACGCATGGTTGCAATTCCATGCCGGAATTGGCCGGCCCATCCTTGAGGATCTCGAAATCGCTTGTCATCTCCCAGTCGGGCTGTTCCAATGCATGCGAAGATTCCTTAAATCCATTGGAGGCACGATTGAAGTGCATAACGCTCACATTCCGCCGTTGCAGCGCGAGCAAGACTCCTACATTATGGATTGGGTGGGGTGGTATGGGGATTTCTCCGAGGCAGACCTGAAACGAATCAACTATGTGCGGCTTTACTTCCAAGTTGTCACGGTAGCTGACATCACAACGGCATGTGGCACATACATCCGGGAGGAGTTCTGGTATGGCTTTTCCAGTCCTCTGGTGCCTCGCACCACCTACTTCAAGAGATTTCAAGATCGACCCAGGGATCCCAGGACTTGGTGGTTGTGGAGGAAAGCCTTATCCCTTTTCGCTCCGAATCTGACGTTGGATGTTCCCCTGGGGAGGTGGCTCGTCTCTGCGGACAAGCTCCGGATGCGCCACAGGTTCTTCTACGAAGTCGATGCCAACGTCGTCTATCAACAAGTTGACAATGAAGAGTCCGAATTCTGGATGTTCCAACATCCAGTCCCGAACAAGGAACGGACAGTTCATCGCTGGGAGTTCGGAGATGAGACCTACCTGGACGCAGCATCCTACACAACTCGGTGCCACTGGATCCCCACTTCCCCCGATCTTGCACCTCTGTCCAGCCAGACTCTGGAAAGCGGCGAGTCCTAGACCTGACCCTCTTTCAACAAGCGTGAGACAGTGGTAGTTGGTAGTGGTTTCACAGCAGGCATTCCTGCTCGTCACCTACCACCCACACCGACAACATTTGAGGGTTCCTTGCCACTTTGGAGCCTTGGAAACAGCTCTTTATGACGAGCTTGAATGGATGGTGGACGCCTACTCAGTCCTGCAGATTGTCACAGCCATGCCCTTTCTGGGTGGCAGCGATGGGCTGCAGACATTGAAGCCGTTAAGGCGAGTTTTGCATGGTCCTGGCAGACAACCGCGGCCAAATTGTGCTTCGGTGCTCTGTCCAGTTTTTGGTATGGTTCCGACTTCCTACAGGGCGGAGGGCTATGGCATTCTATCCCCTACTTGCCTTACTTCGACGATTGCTGGAGTCTACGATCAGACCAGCATGAGAATTATGTACACTTATGCGACAATGAATCTGTGACGAATAAGTGCGCTAGCTGTCTCGAGTATGAGGGCTGGTACCCCAATGATTCGTTGAACTCCGACTGGGATGTCTTGCAGCAGATCGAGGATTCGTTCCGGGCTGCAGTCACTGTGCCCAAGATGGAGCACATCAAATCGCACCAAGACAAGCACAAGGCCATCGAAACACTACCCCTAAAAGCACAACTGAACTGCAGAGCTGACAAACTGGCAGGCAGTTACATGAACAGACACATGAAACAAGATCACTCCAAGGTACTCCGATTTCCGGCAAACCTGGCCCAGCTGCACCTTCCCAGAGGAACATGCACATACAAGCTTCCCAGAACCCTGCGGCATCTCAGGAACGACCAGCCACTGTTCGACCACATTGTCAAACTGAATCCCAACTGGGACGAGGACACCCCTGCACTGGTTGATTGGACAGCCCATGGACGAGCTGTCAACCGTCACGAGATCCACAAACCGACAATTGTGAAGTTCCTCTTTCAATTGTTGCCAGTTGGGAAACAGATCCACCGGGATGACCCCAAGTATGATCACCACTGTCCCCGTTGTGGCGGTGATCACGAGACTGAAACCCATGTTTACCGATGCCCGCATGTTGACGTGGATTTGTGGCGAGGGACCATGCAACGAGCGATCAGCACAAAGTTGCGCAAGGATTCCACCGACCCCTTCCTCCTGGAAATTGCTCTGGATGGACTACAATACCACTTTGAAGATCGATTCCTCCACCCATGGCATTACCCTGACAGGTATAGGGACCTCGTTGACACTCAAAATCTCATTGGTTGGGACAACTTCCTGAGAGGACGTTTGTCCACGCACTGGGCTAAGCATCAAGATGCATATCTGCATCGGGTCGGCTCCCAGGAGACCACCAAGACAGGGCAGCTCTGGGTCACCAACCTAGCCTCACTGCTCATCCAGCAGTGGTGGAACCTGTGGGAGGATCGAAATGCTGCCAGGCATGGCAAAGACAGGGAAGACCAGTGGAAGAAGAAGCACGAACAGCTTCAGCGGGAGGTGGAACTCATTTACGAGAAAGCGGATCTGATCCCAGCGGAGCTGGTGGATTTTATCTTCAAGCGACCGCTTGACGAGCAAATGGCAAAGGGCCCAGGCGACATCAAAGCGTGGCTTGCCAATTGGCTGCCCGTCGTCGACAAGGCACTCAGGGACGAGCATGCACGCACCGTGCAGAACAATGACACAGGGTAACTACGCACAGAGGGGGTCTTACCGTAGAAATAGATGGCAATCCAGCCAAGGGTAGTTAGTTAGCTGCAAAGCACCCTCCGGAGTTTTTAAACTTCTCCGGTGGGGGGCTTGCACTAGGCCGGTTCCTATGTGGGCGTCCTTGTACGTCTGAGGTACTCCGGTTCAATATGGCTCCGTTCAGCGGGTGGTCTATTGAGGTGCAGCCTATATAATAAAACTTCGTTATTTTGCTCTTCGACCTAACTTCCTAACCTTTGTAGTTGCATCATCTAGACGACCATTGTCCTCATTCCTCGTACACCTGGCCATCTGATGATGATCGGATAACCATCTGATTTGAGTCACACATCCTTAGTCACGAACCGTGACTGCGGATCCCGAGTCGTCTGTCCGTCATACGAAAATACCTTTCTAACACCCTTCCTGTTTTCGCGATGATGGCAGCGACCTTCTCACCAACTCAAACCAATTGCTCCTTGTCTCCTGTCAGTTTCGGTGCATGTCTGTCGAGGGTCTCGACGTTGACATTCTTGGTCCCAATGTCGCTCACGTTGTCTTCCGAGCGAACGAAATCAATCTTCACTAGGCCGTCCTGCTGCATTTGGTTCACGTAGTGCCACCTCGTATCCATGTGCCTTGTTCGACTTGCACTTGTCTTGTTCTCTGACATAAAGATAGCACCCACGTTATCGATCTTCACTTGCACAGGTAGTTCCACGTTGATCTGTAGGAACTTCAGAATCTGCGCGATGAACGGGACTTCTCGCACTGCTTCGCCACACGCGTAGAACTCAGCTTCGGAACTCGACAATGCTACAACCTTCTTGTAGGCTTGGACCTTCCAGTGAATGAGTACTCCTTCTAGAAAGATCATCATGTACGTGACCGATCTTCTGTTGTTCTTGTCTCCGGCCCAATCCGAATCCGAGAATACTTCCAACTTCCACGGTCCTTCGTTCTTCTCTGGTCTCATCAAAAGTCCACGGTTCCTTGAGTCCAACACGAACTTTACGCAACGTAGCATTTCCTTGTACGCTGCTGGCGTTGCACATCCCAAGACCTTAGCTAGCTCTCGTACCGCGTTCGAGATTTTTGGCCTTGAATGCTTGATAATGTACATGAGCATACCTACTCCTGTTCGTTATCTGCTCTGTTGTTTTTCAGCGATCCATTCGCTCTGTTCGTCTGTCTTCACTATTCCGAGTCCA